TTGGCTCCTTTTCTCACCACCTCCCACCCTCACTGATTTCTCAGCCCACTTTATTCTTATTAAAATCCTATCATTACACTGAAACAGCTCCCACTTGAAGTCATCAATGATTTCCAAAAAATGTTTCCCTAAGGATTTTTTGCTTGATCATTTGCCAGCATTGAATAATGTTGTTCATGGTTTCACTGTTCACATACTACCATAGCCCTCCTATCTGTCTTTCTGCTTCTCTTCACTTTGAATATTTATACTCCTTTCCCTGGCTGTTAAGTGACTTTTTACTAGGTTCCTTCATAACTGCACAGAATTTTTTTAGGTGATGTATTTTCCAAGCATTTTTTTAATGAGGTGATTTCCCAAATTGTATTTATCAGACTGGTCCTCTTCTTTTTTCTGAGATACACACAATCCCATATACATACATATACATATGTATATGACTTTACTGTAAATCTCAAAATCCGATGATATGAATTTATGAAAGGGTATGTTAAAGGTTATGAATCAACAGCCAGATAAAGAGATACACAGAGCAAGGAGCTTCCATGTCCTCTCCAGGTATGCCATTCACCACGCATCTCCATATGTTCACCAACTTGGAGACTCTCTGAAACCCATGGTCCTTTTGGGTTTTTATAGAGGCTTCATTATGTCATCATGATTGACTAAGTCATTGTCAATTGGTTGATTCAGCTCCAGCTCCTTTCTCCTTCCCAGAGGTCAGAGGGTGGGACTGAAATTTATCATCCTTTAATAGTTGGTCCTCCTGGCAACTAGTTCCTGACCTTAAGTTACCTTCATTAATAAGACACCCATTTCACCTTTTATGCCTCTGAAGCATTTTCAGGAACTGTAGATGAAGACGAAATATATCTGGGAAATATATTTTGGTCATCTAAACCATGACATATATGTTATAAATCATTTTATCACAGAAATACAAGGGATTGTTTATTGATTTGGAGTACTGCATATTGCTAAATTCAGGTATTAGTTCTAGTAGAGTTTTGGAAATTCCTTAGGATTTACTTTGTAAGCAATATGGCTCCTCAATAAAATCAATCTATATACCTTTTATCTATTTTTCTTGTTTTCTTATACTGGTTGAGACATCCAGTATAATGTTGAGTAGAAGCACTGAGAAAAGACTTCATTGTTTTGTTCTCAGTTTTAAAGGAAAGTGTTCATATTTTCCCATTAGGTAGGATGATAGCTGAAGACTTTTTTATACATGCCCTTTACCAGGTGGATAAAGTTTCCTCGTCTTACTAGTTTACTAATTTTTTACTGAAATTTTTATCATGAAAAGGTGTTGAATTTTTCAAATGTGTTTCCTTTATTTATTGAGATGGTCATATTTTTGTCTCTTATTCTGTTAATATAAATTGCATTGATTAATTTTTGAATGTTAAATCAAAACTGCATTGCTGGAATAAATCTAATTGATTAGTTTAGTAAATTTTATTATCCTTTTTGTATATTTCTAAGTATGATTTGATAATATATTAAGGAATTTTTCATCTCTATTCATGAGAGATATTTAGTCGATTGTTTTCTTTTGTTGGCATGTCTTTGATTATTAGGGTATCTGTAGTGTTATAAAATTATTCGGAAAGTATTATTGTCTCTTTGAATTTCAGAAAGAGTCTACATAAGATCTATATTATTTATTTTTTACCATTTGATTGAATTCATTAATGAACCTATCTGGACCTGGAGTTTTTGTGTAGCATAGTTTGGAATCATAGTGCCAATTTCGGTAATCTTTAGTGTCAGTTTTGGTAATCTTTGTTTTTCAAGGTTATTTACCCATCTCACTTAAGTTTGCAAATTTATTCATTATTCATAATATCCTCTATTCTTCTTTTAATGTATGCAGCATGTTTCCCTTTTCATATAAATTAATCCTAGTCACAAATACGGCTTAAGAAAGGGCAGGTTCCAAGGTCCATCATTTACATGATATTTCCAATTCATAATTGTGGTAATAACTCTTCCAAGATGTATTTTCATATCAAAGATGATTTTAAAGTTTATTTACAATAGTGGAATAAAAGTGGAGTGTGTGTGTGTGTGTGCGTGTGTGTGTGTATGCATATGCACACACATGTTTTACACAGATGGATTGTTGAGCCCTTCCTGAGATGGCAGGGGAAGACCTTCCTACATGGACAGCCTCCCAGGCTGGATTTCTCAATGCCCTTTTGTATGATTATTATTTCATCTAACTAAGCATATATTTAAAAATTTACTGTCTTCCATAACACATTGTGTTGGAAGTTTATAAATGGAAACCTTACATCAGAATGGGAAAAGGTGAGCTTTTCAGTCAGACAGACCTTAGTGCCAATTCTGACTTGTTAGATATAGACATGGATATTTTATTTAACCTTTCTCAATGTCAATAATAGAATTTCTAAAGTTTAAATGATCTATGAGAGATCATTTAGAAAACAGTCCAAGATCATTTAGCAGACATTTATAGGGTTACTCATGCTACAGCTTTTCTGGAACTTTCCAACATCCACTGTGGTTTCTCCTCAATTATTTTATAAATGACTATTTAAAAAGAGACTCACAGAGGAGGAAGGATCCTCAGTGTCCTCCCCACCCCCAACCAGTAATATATATAAGAAAATTTATAGGACCACCACGTATGTGAAAAGGTCAGGCTACATAAAAGAACATAGAGAGACAGAAGACAGATAATTTATCAAACGTTTGTCTATGTAAGGGCAGGTTTTCATTAACTTCATTTGTTTCTTTTTAAGAGAGAATAGTTATGGCTAAAAGAAACTCCATATTTGTCTGTGTAGAAATCAAAGTAAAATTCTGCTTGCAAAGATTATCTTAAACACACCTGGATCTTGTGATGTATAAAGCAACAGAGTCCGTCCAACGTGCATTCTGAGAGAGCACAGGAACACATGGGTCTGTCCTGGCTAGCAGCACAGAGATAAAAACAACAATTAAATAATCTTAACAGAACATAGATGACCATGGAGTCTTAGTTAGAACCAACAAACGGCTATGGTGTGCTTGTTGGCACATTTTCCTCTTAAAAAATTATGCGTGCTGAATTTTATTGTTTTGCTCACTAAACTCTATCAATCTTCATGAACTTATAATTAAGAAAATATTACACTTGGAAGGACTCCCTGCTATTATCAAATAACTTTGAAAAGAAATGGGAAAGTACAAGTTGTATAACGGTTGTTACAAATTCCAGCTATTTGAAATGTTAATGTAATACCACAAGGGATTCTCACTGTGTTTGTATGCATTTTATTTTTTTTAATTTGTTTTAAAGATTTTATTTGTTTATTTGAGAGAGAGAGAGAGAGAGAAAGAGTAAGAGAGTATGAGCAAGAGTGGGGGGACGGGCAGAGGGAGAGGGAGAAGCAGACTCACCACTAAGTAGGGAGCCTTGGGGGCGGGGCGGGCTTGATCCCAAGACTCAGAGATCAGGACCTGAGCAGAAGACAGAGGCTTAACTCATGGGGCCACACTGGGCGCCCCTGTTTGTATGCATTTTTAAGGGCCAGACTAGATCACAAAATGGGTTTCAAGTAATTTCATAACAATAAAGAGTAAGCAACAGAGAATATTTTATTTATTTTTTTATTCTCTTCACTCAAGGTTTCTTTATCTTTTTTTTTTTTTTTTTTAAAGATTTTTATTTATTTGACAGAGAGAGACAGCGAGAGAGGGAACACAAGCAGGGGGAGTGGGAGAAGGAGAAGCAGCTTCCCGCGGGGCAGGGAGCCTGATGCGGGGCTCGATTCCAGGACCCTGAGATCATGACCTGAGATGAAGACAGACGCTTAACCAATTGAGCCACCCAGGTGCCCCTTCACTCAAAGTTTCCGTTGGCCAAACCTGAGAAACAAATCTAATAAAAAGCACTAGGTAGTTAAGTCCTATCTGTCCCTCTGGCAGCAGATGGCAGTATTGATGCATGAAAAAAATGCTTTCGAGTTACTTTTGCAATTACCTGTTACCTTTCCCCTCTCTATACTGAGGTATCTGAGCTGAACTAGAATTCCTAATCAGATAATATGGTTGTTGTCCTTTTACAGCTCTTCTTTGCCAGTTTTTATTTCATTCTCCTTTTAATTAAGAACTGGCTTTGGTTATTAGTTTGCTTGTTTTGTTTTGTTTTTAAGAACAGTTTTAAGTTCACAGCAAGATTGAATGGAAGATACAGAGGTTTCCCAAATGCCCCCTACCTCCACTCATGAAGTGCCTTCCCATTATCCATATCCCTCACCAAAGTGATACATTTGTTACAACTGATGAACCTACACTGACACAGAATCATCCAAAATCCGTAGTTTACCTAAGGGTTCACTCTTAATGTTGTACGCTCTATGGGTTTGGACAACGTATCCAAATACATCATATAATGTATAATGATAAGTATCCATCATTACAGTACCATACAGAGTATTTTCACTGCCCCAAGAATCCTCTGTGCCCTGCCCACTGGCCCCCCAACACACCCCCCACCACCCCCAGGCAACCACTGCCTTTCTACTCTCTCTCTGATTTTACCTTTTCTAAGATGTCATGTAGTTGTAGACTTTATGGTATGTAGCCTTTTCAGATTGGCTTCTATTACTTAGTAATATGCATTTAAGTTTCCTATCATTTTTCATGGCTTCATATCTCATTTCTCTTTGGCACTGAATAATATTCCATTGTCTGGATATACAACTTCTCTGTTTATAAAGAGGTATCTTTCCCACTTGTAGCTCTCTTTAGACCTTGACAAAAATGGGATGTTTCAACTTGTTTTCCACCCAAACTCCTATTTGATACTCAACTGTATTACTCAAGAACATACTCAACTCAGCAAACATTCTGGGGAAACAGGCTCTTAAGCCTGTACCTCTGGATATAGGCGTCCAAAACACTCTCCTTCCTGTATCTTCTAGTTACTTCTCCAAAGTGGAACTTCCCTGAGTCAGGTGGCAATAAAGAGTCTCTGCTCCTTTTAGATCCCTGGAACATCATCTGTAGTTCAGAGAAAATGGAAGCCCCTGCAGCCTGCTTCACAGCCTCGAGGGCCAGGACCGCAGACCAAGTCCAGGATTAGTGCTGTGGCCGCTGAAATAAAGCAGATCCGAGCCAGACGGAAAACAGCCCGGATGCTAATGGTTGTGCTTTTGGTGTTTGCAATTTGCTATCTACCAATTAGCATCCTCAACGTGCTCAAGAGGTAAAGTTCTTCTATTATTTGAAAATAAAGTGACTCATTTCTTGGTTCTCAGTGAAGAACTTTTTTTTTCTTCTTAAGCCAGAGAAAAATCTAAGCCCTTTGCCTAGATAGTGTCAGGCCAGATAACTCAGTGTGTTGTTTTTCCTACCAGGTAAGTTGGACAGCCTTTTAGAGTGCTCAGACTCTACATGCCTTGTCCATGGAAGTTCTCTGTTGAATGGCAGACATAAAACAGATGTTCCCCTGACCTCTTCAAGCTAATTGCTGAGCCTTAGATGTAGAAAAAGTTCTAATGCAAAAAAAAGAAAGAAAGAAAAGAAACAAAAAGAAACAACAACAACAACAAAACCCAAAATAAAAACAAAACAAAACCAAAACCAAACAAACAAAAAAACCCTCATTTACAGCTTGGAGTTCTTTTTTGATCAGAACAAATTGGGTTTTACAAACTTTGTTCTCATACATAGGGAATTATGACAGAATTCTATCTAAAGGATAAAAAGAGATAGGGATGTTTTGTTAGCATTCTAATTATCCTTAAAAGTGCATTTGTGAGCGCACACACACACAAAAACGGAATCAGGGCTCATACTGTGTTTTGAGTGTTTAAACAAAAAAATGCCATTTCCTCAAGTCACTGAATCAAGAGCTCAGGGTGACTGAGAGAAAGCGTGTTATTTTTTACGCTGCAGATACACTGTTAAGTTAAAAACAATGGACCAACAAGAACAACCAATGCAGGGGCCTTGGTGCGCATGAACTTCACAGCCAGCCAACTTTATTGGGAATTATCATAACTGTTGCAAACAGACTGGCCCCAAGGTAGTAGTAATTTTGTTTGTAATAGGCTTCGAACTTAAACTAGGATTGCTCCTCTCACTTTTCCCTGATTCAGAGTCAGTATCATATTCCTCACAGCTGGAGACTCTGGAGAGCGGCAGCTTTGGCTGGAGTCACACACGCTAAAGGCGGTACAACCGACTGCAAAGAGTTCTCATTCTTCTTGGCCCTTGGTTTTGATTGCTTAATCACTCTCCCGATGGAAAATGACCTTTTGTTTAGTAATATTATTTAGTACAGACACAGCCTTTAAGGAATGAGATTTTCAGCAGCGTGGGGCCTTGAGAAACATCCGGGCTCACAAGAAACTGAAAGCTACTTTGCCCTTCATAGCTCTTCATAATTTCGGTCTTATTTTTCTTGGTGGAAGAAATCCCATACAGATTTATTCTGATCTTTGGCTAGATGATGTTTTCTACCCTTAAGAACCTTATAAACATGCTATGATACTGAATGATTTTCTCTTTTTTTTTTAACTTTTTGTACTTTTATGGTACTCCGTCTAAATGCAATGAAAGTCAGATTTACTGCTCTCTGGACTGCTCTTTGGGATTCCCTGCGTCTCGGCACTTGGACCAGTCCTTTAGCTATTTCCAAATATCTACTTGTCCATAATATTTCTCTTCTTTTTCTAACTTAAAGACCTCTAACTTAAAGACCTTTTCAAGGAAAATAAATGGCTAAGAAGAAAGTCTATGTTAAAATATTCTCAATTTTTTGAGCATTCTGCTCTTTTCCACAAAACTTGAGAAAAACACTCCTTTTCTTCAAATGCTTATCTCTTTGTTTGCCCTTATAGGTTATGCTTGTATTTTCTTTCTCTTACCAATACATTTCTAAACTCTTTTCCTTGAAAGAATTTTTTGCCTGACTAGTTAAAACCAGCTTCTTTAAAGCAGTTCTGGTTTGTCTAGGATTTCAAAGGTATATTGTGCTAGAGGGTCAGAACATACCATTAATTCCATTTGTCCATGCTATTTCACTCCGTATCATATTTTTGTAAAACTCCAGTACTCCACAGAGCATCACTTTATTCCAGAAATGCATTTCTATCATGGGCACCACCGTGTGTAATCAAATTACACAATCAATGATGGAGCCTCTGGCAGGAAATGCATTATCATCTTCAATCTATAAAATTTACTAGGTAGTTAGTTACAAGCTACCTGCTATTGGCTAGTGGATTGAATTTGATAGATGGGATATTTCTGAGTATGGAACAAATCTTAAAAATGATGTTTAAGGATAAAATAATGAAATATTTTTCAGAGTTTAACATCATAAATAAAAATACTAAAACTCATGAATTTTAAGAAGTTACCAAAATTTTGCCTACTGAAAACTAGTCTCTCTCTAACTGTAATGAAGTCCCAGAAGGCAAATTTCAACAAGGCTGGGAAGAGTGTAGTTGAAAAAGTGTGATACTTTGATCAATGCACAAAGGTAGGTAGAAGAAGGACTCAAAGACTGCAGTTTAAGAGTGCTTTTTATTTAAAGATTTATTTATTTATTTATTTATTTATTTATTTATTTATTTATTTATTTATTTGACAGAGAGAGACACAGTGAGAGCGGGAACACAAGCAGGGGGAGTGGGAGAGGGAGAAGCAGGCTTCCCCCAGAGCAGGGAGCCCGATGTGGGACTCGATCCCAGGACCCTGGGATCATGACCTGAGCCGAAGGCAGACGCTTAACGACTGAGCCACCCAGGCACCCCAAGAGTGCTTTTTAAATGACACACAAAATGGAATAGTAACAAACTTGTTCAGCTGTATTTAGAAACAAAATGAAAAAAGGACATAGCTATATACTCGACTTCTGTACTCTTGCTCACCAGAAATAGGATTACATTTGTTGTTTACGGGAGAGAAAGACCATTCTCTGGCTTGATTTGGCCTTTGATGCCCTAATTGTGCCATGGAACTTTTGTTCAGGTACTGACATTTTCCTAAACCCACTATGGTGCCATGAGCAGTGCCTGCTGCAGGGGAGGACAGGGGTTAGTTAGGCAGCTTCCATCAAGGGCTGTGTTCACCCCTGAATTTCATTATTTGAAGGGTACTTTTCAAAATCACATTGGATTTCCCGTGATTGTTTCTTGTTTTGTTTTTCCTACAGAGTATTTGGGATGTTTACACACACAGAAGACAGAGAGACTGTATACGCCTGGTTTACATTTTCACACTGGCTTGTATATGCCAATAGTGCCGCGAACCCAATTATTTATAATTTTCTCAGTGGTGAGTTTTCAACCGTTCCTTCCATGTAAGCCACAGTCCTTACCAAGGGCGAGGGATCAGTGACCCCAAGGTTTTGAACACTCTTGAAATGTGCGAAGAGCTTAATTGCTATACAATGAGATTCCCCCCCCCCCCCCGGATCTAATTCATCTTGAGGTTTTACCCTGATGAGGGGGATCACATGGTACCTAACTCATCAGAGAAAACCATCTAAGTCATTTTCCCGTAAAATTTAAAAGAAATGTTGAGTAGGGGGAAAGTGAAAATTGTGAGAACTGAAGAACTCAGAATCCTGCTTGTCATACACTAAACTTACGACTTACCAACATGTAAAATAATTTTATCTGAAAATGAAACAGACTTGCTGTATTATTTCCTTTGCCAACACTGAGATTGCCTCGTTGAGATTGAATTGGAACCCACTTTTGGGTATTTTTCTGTATTTACACTTCTCTTGTGAGTAACATCTCTTCAGGTTATCTCAAGATTTCTCACTGACCACAAAAAAATGATACTACTTCTAAATAATGCACAAGCTAAATGACACACAAAGACACACATCTGTAACAGATTTAATTTTTCTCGGTTTATGGAACCAATGTAAATGTAAAAATCATTTAACTAGTTATTTTATTTACAAACATTTTGCCTGACTGACCTTTAGAACTGTGTTTTAATTAGCTGCATCTTTACACTGTCTTCTTCTCTAACCGGTTGGCTATTTCTGTTTCATTGCTATTTTCAAATATATGATAATTTTATGTGGAAGAATAAGCAATTCATTTTATTGCATACTTAATAAAGTATGTATATTTTCCAACTTCATCTTTGGCCTTGTAGGTTGTATGGGTTATTTAAAAAAAAAGAAAAAAAGACAAATGACCAGTCAACTTCCATTGTTTTCTTTCTCAATCATGGTATATACCATATATATACCTGCTTTATTTCACCTTTCAGGTGGTGTATATGTGGGGTTTTCTTGCCTTCCCCCACCACATCCAACCCCTGTCTCCAGGTTAAAGATGGCATTAGATCGGAGATCATCGGATACCACTCACTGCTCATGGGCTGTCTTTGGGGGATCAAGGGACCATGTGGAGCTGTGGCTTGGAAAGCAATGAGGAAGCCATTGCCTTGGGGTTAGAGATGACTAAAGCCCTCAGGCTTGCACTAAGCAGATCAAACCTCCTAGAAGGTTATAGGGAGAAGTGTTTGAAGTCAAGGCCACAGGACCAAGTCAAAGTGCTATTGTGGGGTGGACTGAGGCAGGGAAGGTGGTTGATAACCTGTGGAGACTTGGGATGTGCCAGCAATTGTCGGAGGCCCTTGAACATTCGCTTCCCATGTAATCACTCAATCACCCACTTTGGTAATGGAGGCTCAGAGAAGAGAAATGATGATTCCCAATCCTGTTCATTTATCCTTAAAAAGGTGTCTGTTTCATTTTTCATACTTCTCCAATTTCATGTCAGTGACTTAAGGGCAAGTAGTAACTTCTAAAGTGGGTAATTTTTCCTTCCATTTTTTGTTCTGCCTCATGCAGATTATGAAACTTTAGAAATTTTCTATATATTTTAAGATGTTTTTTTCTAGATACTCTGTTGAACTGAGCATGCCAGTAGACCAGTTTCTTCAGAGTCCAGTGTAGGGATAATTTCTGTACAGTCATGGCTATATACAATACAGGCTTCATCATTTTTGAAATTATTAAGTATCTCTGGACAGCCTACAAATTATCATTTTCATTACAGCTGTCTATAAAAACCCACAATCATAAATATAGAAGGTTTGACTCTAAAGGAATGAAACAAATTCCAAACATCGCACATGAAAAGCAGTTACATTATTTTATGGAAATACCTTATTGTTTCAAGAGTCTACCAAGCTTCCAGTAACACAATTTCCTCTTCCTATTTCCTCCTTTTTGCAAAATGTTGCACCTCATTGTTAGTTTGGCTCAAGGGAGCAACTGGGTTATACCCTATTCATGATTTGTTGAACACTATTTATGTGTAATTCTTTTTCCTTTCATTCTCCCTGGTTTGTCAGGAAAGTTTCGAGAGGAATTTAAAGCTGCATTTTCTTGCTGTTGCCTTGGAGTTCACCATCGCCAGGAGGACCGGCTTACCCGGGGCCGAACGAGCACAGAGAGCCGGAAGTCTCTGACCACCCAGATCAGCAACTTCGACAACATATCAAAACTCTCAGAGCAAGTTGTGCTCACCAGCATAAGCACACTCCCAGCAGCCAATGGAGCAGGGCCACTTCAAAGCTGGTAGAAATTTCATTCATATGACAGGGATATCTGAGTAAAACTATTCTTTTTTAAAAATCTCTGTACACACAAACTTTATTATCCTAATGATCTGAAGCTTAAATTACTTTGTGGTCTTTCTTTCATTCTTCTTTTTTTCTTCTTTCTTTCTTTCTTTTTACTCTATTGCTCTTTGGAAATTAAAAAAAAAAGTCAGTTTAAAATAATTTCTCAACTTTTGATTTAAATAAAATTTTAGAAGTTTGACTTTCAACTGAATTTATTTTAGGCTATTTCACTTTTAGCTTCATGTATTGTGATTTGTGTCAATTAAATGTTTGAATATTTTTAATTCTAATTGTTATTTTACTCTCTCACCTTCAGATTGGTTGCAAAAAATTACCAAGAGTTATCCAATGATTTTCTTTTGTCTACTAAAAGAAGTAGCAATTACTAACTCAATTAACAACAGACATGTTAATTAACTTCATAGTTTTAAAAAAAATCACAAAAGACTCATGATGTGACATCTGAGAGAATATTTATATATACAAAATAGCATACTATATTAGATAACTCAAAAGCTATCTTTCAAAACTATTTAAAAATATATACTATTAAACTTTAATTTCCATTCATTTAACACAATTTTCTCAGGTTTGTAACCTTACCATTGCTCACATTTCTCATCTCAACATATGGCCAGTAAGATTGTATTAACATAACAATCTTGGAGTAACTACAAATACATAACAATCTCCATCTCTAAGAAAAGACTTCAACATTTGAGAATAAGGCAGGATTCATTTAACCAATAAAAATGATGTAGTTGGCCTTGCTGGATTAAATTAAGAATGCAATTTACAAAGAAAAGGAGTAGTGGACTACTAAATCACAGCTGGGTCCCATATGGGACAGTTACTACTGCCACGGTGATGTGATGTAAATATTTGCATTTATTTGAATTTCATAAATATTTATCAAATACAAGCACCCACTGTGCTAGGTGCTGGAGAATGAGGTGGGGGCGGATGTACACGTGCCTTCAAAAGAGCTCTAGATGACTGAGGGAGACATGTCAATAGAGTTTACAGGACAGCAAACCACTGTAGGGGACAGATTCAAATGGGGGTGGAGGAGTGAAGCAACCAACATGGGACACAAACAGAAAAAGTTTTGTTTCTGATTCATTACAGTGACACGGCTGATGTCCGCAAATTCCACGTAGGCCTGCAGGTGGTTAGGAGGGAAGTGCTGGCTCCTAACTCATATACAAAGGAGTAGCCACCTGGCATACTTTGTACAAATGTGAGAGCTGCAATCCAAAGCACTGAATATTTCAAACTTGTCTCCCTGCAAAATGCTTCTAACTCAAATATTTACTTGAAAATTGAATTCAAAGTAAGACATGTTCATGAAAGTTGCTCTTCTTGCATGACAGCAGCAGGTATCCTTATTTTTACTGAAACAAAAGATGTGGAGAATAATATTTAAGAAAAATTTTTATAGATGATAAAAACTATCTCATTCATTTCTTGCTATTTTCCAACCCATCACTTTCTGAAAGAAGACACAAACAAATTGTCCACAAGTTGTCTTCTTATTTTAGAACGTGGGGCTACCTTGTGCTTTTTTCCTACTCAAAGCAAAAAATGACCCTACCAGAGAAGATTTATTGAAGTGATATTGCTAATTATCAGAAAGATAACATCAAAAGCAAAGTGTTATAACTCTCTCCTCCCTTCCTTTGTACATTTGAGAACTTTCTTGTTTATGCTGCGTGAAAGGAATGTTGTAATATTCAGATTGTGATGGGAGCTAGGATAGTTTAAATAGTTTGAGGATTCTTCAAGTAATATTGATAATATGCCTTAATGCCTAAGTAGTATCTCAGAATAAGAGCTAAATAATAGAGACTGTAATATATCTAGTTCTTTATTATTTAAGAAGGAGAGAGGTTGAGAGAGGGAGAGCAAGAGAGAAGGAAAGAGAGAAAGAGAGAGGCTCAGAGAGGCAGCCATTGTACGATTGCCTGTTAAGGATAGACTCAGAAGTCAAGATGCCTTTGCCGTAAATCAGTGATTCTCAAAATGTGGTTTCTGAACCATCAACATCAGCCTCACCTAAGAAATTATTAGACATGCAAATTTCCACCCAATCTCAGATCTGCTGCAGCAGAAACTTTGGGGGTGGCACCCAGGACTCTGTGTGTTAACAAATCCTACAGGTTATCCTGAAGCATCTAAAAATTTGAGAACCCCTGCTCCAAATATACCACCTGGCACCTGCTAATTAGCCCAGCAAAATTAAGTATTTCACTGCACAGGTATCTACAACAGGGACCATCGTCATCACTCCTGTCAACCTGGTTGGAGGTTGAAAGAAGAGTCTGAGTATCAATGTTGAACGTCACTCAGTGTCATCTCATTCAAAGAGATAGTGGTTTATGAACCAATTGCCTTGCATGACCAGTGCAGTGTGAAAGAAGACTGGTTTTAAAGCACTTGTGTACTTTATGGATACCTGGATGACTTGAGTTTCTAACTAAAACTTTTAAATCTCCAATTTTACTTACACTAACTAAAGGCTAAGTTTTGTGGAAGCAGACAGTTTCTAAGAATGATCCTTGCCTGGAAGGAAAACAAACAAACACTAGTACCTACAAGATACTGTGGCAACGGAATAGCAGACTCTACGCATTGCTTTCAACATGTTGATTCTGGAACCCTTCTAAGAGTTCTGGAGGGAGTATGGTTACCTTACTAGGACGAGTGGTCAAGAAAGAGTTTTTTCCAAAACCTGCCAATCTTATGGAACAAAGGGTCAACCACACGCTTCATTATGTGCTAATAACACAAATGAGAGACTTCTTATGGAAAGAATGTGTTGCAACTGTTTTATGCTCTACATAGAATACGCATCTCTCTGTTTTGCCATATTTCAAAGATTTAATGTAAAATGTCACTAGGGTTGATGAATTTTGTTATCAATAAGGATGAGATCATTTTAGCGAATAGAGAATCCATTTGAACTTCATTATTTCTGAATTTCTCCAAACCCATGGACACTTTGATATTCGAATTCATTCATTCTTGGCAAAAGAGGACTCCTAGTTTCTGAGGAAAATGACTTAAAGGTTCCGAGACTTAGAGTGTTTCTTGGATATCAAATAACTGTTACAAATCATTGATGAGTTAATTGCAAAAGTGTCAGGCATAGTGATACTGAATTTCACTCCCAGTGTGCATTGTTTTATTAAAGATAGAGATAAATATGCTTGTAAAATGTGGTCTGAATATACATAAACCTGAAATATCAGAATGACAAACACCCAAACATGCTTATGGACACAAATCGTGAGGAGGGCTATTATTGTTTTAATATCAGTATAACAATAATACAATCTCTCACACCTGATATAAATTATAGTAGTAATCAACTGCATTTCAAAAAAAGTCTGGTTAGTCATTACAACTTAGAAAGTTTTTCAATTCCAATTAATTTTACAACAGACAATTTTCTACTTTCTACAAATTACAAGTCAAAAAAAGTAAATTCCATTAGGTTATGTACAATTAGTTTTCAAATAGCATGAAGCAAAATAATTGATTTTTTAGAGATAATATGTAAACAAAAAATATTGTCAATTTAAGTCTATTCTACTACTTTATGTACCTCAGAAAATGAAGAGCAAAGGCATGGAAAACAGTGTTATCTCCCCAAATTCAAAGAGGATTGTTTTCTAGAATACTGCTGCAATTAAAGAGGGAGCAAAACACTCCCTCCCATTTGCCACGTATTTCTATTCTCTTTAATTTTCTTTATAAGCTTTGGGGTTAGAATATCTTTTAAGTTTTTTTCTTCCAAAATGTATTTCTATAATTGTTGTATCCCATGTGTGTAACATCATGTCACTTGTTTAACAGTTATACATTTAAAGTTCTTGATGCTTAATTTCCTGTGTGTTCATGAAGAAATTTCTTATCAAATCCAATGGGATTACACACCAACTACTGTGAAGGATGCTCGTTATGTACTTTTTAAGTAAAAACCATATTGAGAATTCTATAATCACATTAACACTGCCCTCTCTATTGTATGAAAAATCCTGTTGTTGTTGATTAGAGATGTTGGATATTCACTCATAACTAGTGTCAAATCTTTGCAGGTAAGAATTAAATTAAGCCCTCTGGTGTGGTACTTAATGATCAAAATATTTTTTCCCAATAAGTTTATATAACCAGGGTTAATCATGATATAAAATGTTTTTAATGTTGTTTTTAAGAGCAGGTACTAAACTAAGGATGGTTAAGATTAACACAGAAATATTTCATAAAAATTATGTTAAACCACTGATATATATCATTAAATTTTGGAACTTTTATCAGAGTCAAGAGATTGTATCTTATTTGGATTTAGAGAAAATGATGACCTTGTGATTTCAATTTGTTATTAGACAAATAGGTGGTATTTCCATAATTAAGCAATTTTTTTCTTGGTCATTATATATAAAACTTTTAGGGTTCTTTTTAATTAGTGATAAATTTTAAAATGTATATTTTCTGCTTTTCATTTCCTAAATGATTCTGATAAATGACAGAATCAACTGTCAAGGATTTTTATTTAAAAGTCCATTTTTATTCACTGCTGTTTATTCTAACTTGTATAAAAAATGGAGCCAAAGTAACTGGGCAAGGTAAATACTTGACTCCATCTAGAGAAATGTGATTTGATTATGGGATGGTTTCTAAAGACAGAGCAGAAACTCTCAGAGTGAAAGCCCAAGACTAGCTATTTCATGGGTGAAGGTGTTTTGCTTTGAGTAATCCATCATCACAGATTAGGTATTTGGCCACTTCTGCTCCTGGAGTCAGCCCTGAAGAGAGGTAACTCATCCCCGCTTTCATCTAGGCCAGTTGCCATGAATGGGAAATGGTAACAAGGGAAGTTTCTTGAAGAACCTCTTTGGCCTTGCCCTGCTTTTACTACTTCCTCACTTTCCAGCTGTAGTCCTTACCCCAGCCT